AGTGTCAGTTTGTCAAGACCAAGAGGTTTTTCTTCTCTACCCTTGCTGTGGATCTCTGTAGCATCTCGAGTGGCTGTTTCCATAGCAACTGCTATGTCAACAGCTTTGGAGAATTTTAATTTTGACTCTGCAAGGAGACGTTTCTGAATTTGCTGATTACTTAATCCACACAATAATCTGTCGCGCAAGGTTTCTTCCAAGTTACTTCCAAAATTGCAATGTGTGGTTAATTTCTTTAACTCAGCTATATAACTTAAAATGCTCTGCCCTTCTTGCTGATTTATCTTATAAAAACGAAACCGTTCGGCTATTTCTAGTGGTTTAGGATTTAAATGCTTCTGTAATGTACTTACTATTTCATCAAAGTTCTTGTCTGCAGGCTTTTCTGGCAAAAGTAAATCCTTTAATAATGAATACGTTTTGCTTCCAATCAAACTCAGCAGAGTTGGCACTTGATGATTGTCGTCGACATCGTTTGCAGCGAAAAAATGTTGTACTCGTTCGACATACGTCTCCCAGCTTTCTTGGGTTTCATCAAAAACATCAATTTTTCCAATCGTCATCATTTCTGGACTTATAACAATCCCAAATTCGTCGCCACTGTCGTGTATTTAGATTATACTTTTAACAAAATATGAGTAATACATAAACATGGCCGATCTACATATCTAATGCGCATGTCCGTGCGTATGACCGCTGTCCGTCTATATCTATATATCTAACACCAAATACTGGAGATTTTGAGGTCATGTGACCGGCCGATGCCAGGGTCATTTTCGCTGACCGGAAGCAAAATGCCCTGGGTACGAGGTTGATCTCCTACAACTACGTAACGACTATAGGTAATGACGTAATAGAATTGAAAATTAAACGAGACTTACCTTAAGTTGAAGTTTAATTCTATAAGTCATTAGCGAGGAGTGGAGGAGCTGTAGGCCCACCCAAGTAGTACACCCGGCCCAAGCTCCTCCACTCTCAACATTGAAACAGCTTACAGCTCTAAATGCTGGTTTACTCATGCGCGGTGCTGTCTCTCCTACAACTCCTCCACTCCTCGCTAATGACTTATAGAATTATAATTAAACTTCAACTTAACTCTTAAGGTAAGTCTCGTTTAATTTTCAATTTTCTGGGAGCCACGTGACCAGCTCTTGCCAGGGTCTTTCCTACTAAATAGGGAAGAGCCTGGGAACGAGGTTGGGTTCCGCCTATCTTAATGTGTTTGGCACCAGTGCAAATATACAACTTTGGCGTTTCATATCTTCCGTTCATTGAGTGCTATGAGGACAAAAATACCACGTTCGATTCAGTGTAACAATATGCCCTCATACATAGCGATAGTTTCCCTGCTGGTAGAGGTCTCTATTTGTGCTGGGAAGCGAAGGAGAAGAGACCTCTGCCTAGATCTGACACGTTTTCTGTAGAATAGAATAATTTATTTAATGTCGAATAACACAGAGTGTGGTTGCCCAATCACTCGAGCCAGGGGCTCATGATAGAAGTGCTCTACATGTGCACATGTCGCGCATGTGCACAAATTGCCATGACAACGAGTGATGTTCACCACCCGATATCAATCCGGTTTTTGCGGTAGCAACTTGGTAATCCAAAGACTTACCGTAGTTTGAAGGCAAACAAATGTATCTCGGCCCGATAAAACAGAAAAGATTGCTTTCTTTTGTTATTCTGTCACTGCTTTCACAGTTTCATCTCCGAAAATATCAATTACATAAGTTAGAGCACTTTCAAACACAGTGGCGGAAATTCAATAATATAAATTCCGGAAAAAATTTTTTCGGTACTTGTCGGGCAAAATCCGGGAAAGTCGGGCAAATTTCAGTCCGCCCCCTAAATTTTTCTTCCGTTACGCCCATGAGAATAACATTTCAAAACATGCTCAACTGTTATACGGCAGAATACGTTATTTGCTATACGGCAGAATACGTTAAACAACCGTAGTTCAGGAGTCTTTTAAAAGATAAAAGCTCTGTGCACGTTGTGACTGACTGTTGTCTAAAATAGCTTCAAAAACTCATTAATAATTCATAAGGAAAACACAAAGAAAAATCATAAACGTGTCGTATCCTTGATATGTGAGAGATTTTCCTTGATTTACATAAATTTTAAAGGTGATCTACAGTCCGATCTGCGCATGTGCACAAATGAGCCCACGTTTTATGATACAGACAGTTTAACTATGTTTTGAGTTCTTGAAAAGCCTGATTGTTGTTTCTTGATCATTTATTATACTCTAGAAGCTTGAAAATATAAATAGTTGTCGAATAAAGCTCAATATTTTGGACACAAAAATGTAAACAAAGGCTTTGTTTACATACGGACTGTAGATCACCTTTAATGATTTTCTCTACATATACACACCGAATTTTTTGAAAGCTACTTCGCCAATGAACGTATACTAGATCAATCGTTTTTGAAGCAATTTAAAACATTCGCAGTGCGTGTTTTATCAGACTATCTTTATATCTGATAAAACACTGCTGCTCGTGTTTTAAATAGTGCATAAAATCTCTGCAAATCTCCGTAGTTTCCGAGCAAAAAGCATGCATGATGCTAAATATAAATCTCGATTATGATTGGATAATGGGTGAAGGTGCTAATTACAAAACGTCAATCATCCTTAATGGGCGAAAACAAATTTGTCATAGCCATTTGGGCAGGCGTTTCCTCTGTACCCGCCCGTCAGCTAAACGCCTGCTACGCAGGCTAGGACTGAGGAAGTGTCAGATCTAGGCAGAGGTCTCTTCTCCTTCGCTTCCCAGCACAAATAGAGACCTCTGCCAGCAGGGAAAGCGATAGTTTTAGTCGATGTCAACATTATAGCGATTTATGAGCTTTGAAAGTCAAGCGAGTTCGTATATTTTCAAATTACGCAATTGTCTGAACAAAAATATAGACTAGCAATACCTTTCGCCGAATATAACTACGAGCCGAATAAAATTACGAGCCTGTATCGTCAAATCTGCATCTTTTATCACGGTATTTCCATTTCTATCACGGTATTTCCATTTCTATCACATCTATATCAAGCAACAAATGTTGGATTGATATTCTTTGTTCATTCTTCAAGACGATGGGATTACCGATTCCAGGTAAAGAATTCAATGCTTTCTCAATTAATACATTCGTTAATTTTTGTGATCACTCTTTTTTGTGATTGTTTGTGTATCAATTATGAAAATAACACCACTGTGAAGGTAGCCGCGGATTGGGCCTCACATTAACAAAAGAATCAAAGCAACTAAGGTTCATTTTTACAACACTAAACTACAAAACAGTAAAAATAGTAAAGAAGGTTGGAATACATTAAATAATCTGCTTAATAGGAAATCCAAAACCACAATTGTTAATGAACTTAGCGTAGACCATGGAAAAAATGTAACACAAGATAAAGACATAGTCGACGAGTTTAATAAATTCTTCACTTCTATAGGTCCCAAATTAGCAAATAACATTGCTGACAATGGCTGTAGTCCTGATCCTTTGTCATATATAGACCAAGTCACAAATGTATTTCACTTTCATAGCATATTAAGCTATGAGCTGAAAAGAGAAATACAAAATATGCAAATGGCAAAATCTACAGGTCTAGATAAGATCTCAACTAAGCTAATAAAACAGGCAGGCGATACAATAACTGAATCACTTCTAGAAGTGTTTAACCTATCTCTTAGGACAGGAATATTTCCAGATGATTGGAAATTTGCCAAAGTGACTCCAATATATAGGTCAGAAAACAAAACCTTATGTGAAAACTATAGACCGATATCAGTCATTTCAAATATCGCCAAAATATTTGAGAAATTAGTCTGTAGACAACTAAATACCTTCCTGGATAACAACAACATAATTGTAAAAAATCAATCAGGTTTCCGTCGCAATCACTCAACCGAAACCTCGTTACTACAATCCACTGAAATGTGGTTAAAATAAATGGGGTTATTTTCTTAGACCTGAAAAAAGCATTTGACACGATTGATCACTAGATTCTATTGTCAAAACTACAAGCTTATGGGATACGCGACCACACGCTCAAATGGTTCCAATCGTATTTAGATCAAAGAAAGCAAATTTGCATGCTAAATAACTGTAAATCTGATATTGAAACAATTCGTTGTGGAGTACCTCAGGGTTCAAATGTTGGACCTCTATTATTTCTCATTTACATAAACGACCTCCCAAACTGCCTAGAAACAACACATTCTAATTTATTTGCTGATGACACAATTTTATCATGTCAAGGGCATTTATCCATAGATATTGAATACAAACTTAACAAAGACCTAGTATATGCTCAAAAATGGTTATCAGCGAATAAACTAACATTAAACAACGAAAAAACCAAATATATGATTATTGGATCTCGGCAACGATTGAAAAACTTAGATCACGTGCCAAAAATCAGTATAAACGGACATCAAATTGAACGAGTTCATAAAAAGGAAGCTTTGGGTATAGTTATAGACGATAGACTTAGCTGGAATAGGCAAAATGAAGAACATTGCAACAAGATATCAAAAAATATTAATCTTTTAAGAAAAGCCAAAGATTTTGTTGGCCTAGATACGCTCAAAATTATGTATAACGCAGCATTAGTCGCGCCTCATTTTAACTACTGTTCAACTGTTTGGCAAAATAACAACCAAACACATTTAGACAAATTATATAAGCTTCAGAAACGAGCAGCAAGAATAATAACAAATTCGGACTATACTATAAGA